AATAGTTTTAAACAAAAAAATTGCTGCTTCTTAGTGACTTATAGAAAGAAGAAAGTTGATCAGACATATTTGGCTAAGATTTTTTACACAAAAGTGTTGTTGAATCGCCTTAATTCTACTTGAATTGATCATTGTAACAATGTAAAGAATGTGTTCGAACAAGTTTTCTGAATTCTAGCACCAACAATAGATGCAGTTCACGCTCTCTTTCCTTTTTGCTGGTTGATTTTCAGGTTTTGACAAAAAAATGTTTTCACATACTCGATTATATATACATTTAAATTTGGCACCGTTATTTAAACACAACTATCCAGCACACAGTACTTTTTCGTAGAAAGAACGAAAGGACACTATACCGTATACGATGGTTCTATGCGAAATTAGAAAGCCCTCAAACGTTAGGGTTCGTTGTCAATCTACGCAGTACATACCAAATTGTACAATTGTCAACAAATTGATCAATATGATTTACGACGTTCATCTCTAGGGATTGTCTTTAAAGAGTTAGACCAATGTCAAGTTCAGAAAAAAAAGCTGCCAAATCATTGTCAGTATTTTAAATTTTGACTCTATATTGTATAAATTCACATGTTCAACTGAAATAGAACTGATAACAATTATACTTTCACTTTTTGAATATTTCACTATTAATAATAGTAGAATTGTACGAAACTTAACTGTATTATTTTTCGAGGATGTGGTTGTGGTTGTGGGTATGTGATGGACTGGCTCAGAATGCCTCTCATCTTATGTTGGATCGAAGCTCATACCCACATCCACAGTCATAGTTCGCTTTCGTCAACCCAAGGAGGAACAAACTGATTTCCAGTACTCAAAGTCAACAGAAATCAAGGAAATCACGAGAAATCATTATTATACTTAGGTCTGACCAAAAGTTCCCAGATTGCTATTAGCAATTTTATAAACCAATTAATATCGAAGTGTTGTGCATGGATAAATAGTGGAATGTCTTATCTATAATAGTATATATAGTAAATCTCTTTTGGACTTAGTTATAGTATTTTTTTCGATAAACTTTAATTCGAACTAAAAAAAATTTCAAAAATGGATAATGAATACAATCGATATTATATAAAAATTCGAACTATTTTGGGGATAAATCCAAAGACGATTCACGAAGAACTTGCAACAGCTTCGGGATCCAAGGCTCCATCATATCCAACAGTTGCAGAATGGGCAAAGCGTTTCCGTGAAGGAAGAGAAGATGTCAATGATGATCCTCGATCTGGTCGTCCAGTATTCGAGCTGACAGATGAAAATATTGAACTAGTGCGAGAAGTTATCAACCATGATCCGCATTCAACTTATGATGATATTATAGCTGAGACATTTCTCTCTCATGGTACAATAGAACGAATTATCCACGATTGTCTTAAGATGAAAAAAATTACATTACGTTGGGTACCCCATCAACTGAGTGATGAACAAAAGCAAGAACGTGTTAAACTTTGTCGTGAAAATTTGGCGAAATTCCGTGATGGTTCTGGGCGATTATGTGATATTATAACAGGTGATGAGACGTGGATTTACCATAGGCAGATTCATCACAAGTCAACAAATGCAAGCTGGGTTGGCGAAGATCAATCACCAACTACTATTGTTCGTCGAGGTAAATTTGAACCAAAAAATTGATTTTCTATTTTCTTTAAATCAAATGGTCCTGTTCTTATACATGCTGTTGACGAAGGCAAGACTATAGATCACAACTATTATATTGAAAATTGCCTCAAGCCTGTCGTGAAGGAAATATGGAAACAAAGAAAGTCAGCAGGTACAAAAGGTATAAAATTGCTCCAAGACAATGCTCGACCCCATATTCATTCCGATGTTATTAATTATTTAACAGAAGAAGGTATTATTATAATATCGCATCCACAATATTCACCTGACCTTGCACCATGTGATTATTGGGTAAATGATTACATCAAACGTAATTTAACTGATCAACCAGATGAAAAATCATTGGCTCGTGCGGTATTCAAGGTGATGAAAAAAATTCTGAAAGAAGAATTAAAAAACTTTTGGCAAACTATTAGAAAGGATGGAACTTTGTATAAATAATCATGGTGACTATTTTGAACACTTAATAAAATAAAACTCGAACTTTCTCTTTGTCTTTATTTTTTTTTTTAATTATTTGAGAACTTTTGGTCAGACCTAAGTAATATATATATATATCAATTCCTTAGAATTATTTGATGTCGTATCGAAAATAGCGAAAATGTTGCAGTTTTACTTGGTTTTTGTTGACTTGATGACGAGAAGAATGATGCACGAATGATAGATTTAGAGAATTGTGTGCTTCTCGAGTAAACTGCACATGTTTTTTCTATTCATATACATCGTTTTGTCAAATAATTCGAGAAATAATCAATGCAAGTGGTTGATATACATACATATATATATATAAATGACACATGACTGAAATCCATCTAATTACCGTTCAACTTCGATATCTATGAGGTTTTATATTCTGTTTCTTTTCGTATGCGTTCTTTTCTTCATATAATTGACCAAAGAACAGACATATTTGTTTCTGTTCATTTCTATCTTCGTCTTCGTTAACGAACATTATCTTTTCGTTATATGATTCGCTTCTCATTTTTACTTTCCATTGAACCATTTCAAATATGTCCAACAAAAGCAATGTTTTACCACACGATGTAATGGAATTTGAAGATGAACGTTTTTTCGAATTCGTGAAAAGTTTTGCGGGCCCGAGGCTAGCTACACTTCTTGAATTTCAAGATATTAATAATGTGAATTGTTTTCTAGCGTGCGATGATCCTTTTGAACTTTAATCATATGATTTAAATGATTTACTTGAATTAAAGAAGCAAATGTGTTTAAAATTAAATACTAATTTATTTGTTGTTTTACCAGGAATCAAGAGTAAGATGATGTTATTAAAAAATGCTTTAACAAAAAAAAAGTAATGAGTTAAAAAAAGAAACACCAAAAATATCTTCGAATATTATGACAAATAATGTATCCTTCAATAGTTCAGCAACTGATTATTCTAGTAATTCTACATATTCATCTGCACAACAATTGGTAAAGAATTCTTCATCATCTGCCACCAGTTCAAATTTAGAAGAAAATCTTAAAATCATTTAATTAATCTATTGAATGATTGGGTCGATAAAATAGAGCAAAACAAAAATCATAAAAATTTTCAAATTAAAGAAGGAATTGATTATGAAATTATTGCCAACAAAGTGTTGATAAATGTCAATGCGGTATTAATTCAACATTAGGTCAAAAGAATAACAGCTATGTTGTAAGTCATTCTTTTCACTCTAGATAGTATAATTTTCGAGAAAGATGCGCGATCATAGATTTTTAAGTCTTAGATATTGAGCATAAAAAAGAATGTCAGTTAATACATACGCCGCTCATTTGTAAATGAATGCGATAGGAAATCTTCAATGTGGGTTATTGAGAAGGATTATATTGATTGTTATCTTTTCATCTTGTTCACTTTTGTAATATTTTTTCCACAGAAAAACAATTATTTTAGGCAGATAATGATGCATTAAGCACTGTAGAGTCTAGACGACGTTACTTTTGACATACTTCACTATGCTGTTATTTCGATGAATAACAATAATTGTTCGTATCGGCCTGAAAGATATTATTATTATCATTAATTAAAACGATATTGACTTTATATTGTCTTCTATTTAATCTTTACCAGTTATCATTACTTAAAGACCCACGTAAAAGTAAAAGTAATGCAATGCACCGTATGAAAAAGAAATTAGTGTTTTTTCATATTTTTTTTCAAACATCTAATGACGATATCATTAATTGATGTTTGACAGTCTGTGAGAAGATCTTGTGTGGAAGGTAGAAGAGATTACGAATAAGAATATCATCCGTAAAGACTACATTTTTCCCGTTAAACTTGACACTGGATATAGTTTTTTGCTAATCAATTTAAATATCTAAAACTCAATCCCAACGGATATCAACACTTCATAACTTGTACTCTTTCTAGTCAATATTGAATATAAAGTTACATCAGTGTAAATTGATATAGAAAAATATTTGTTATTGATTACTTACAGCGTGCAATCTGATGAGAACAATTCTATTATGCTACGGATTTGACTGCAAACCATTAAAACATAGCTTATTTTGATTGAAATGTATGTTAATAAAACTGATCGTCCAAAATATTTAAACATCGTGTTTTGATCTCATTAGTTATTTTGAACTCCATAATGAGTAGAATATCATGATATTTGCATTGATTTTATCATATTTTTCATTTACTTAATCAAATCTATGCGTTAATATATAGGGTGTGGGTGTGGGTGTGGGTGTGGGTGTGGGTGTGGGTGTGGGTGTGGGGGTGGGGGGGGGTGGGGGGGGGGGGGGGGGGGTGTGGGTGGGGGGGGCGGGCGGGGGGGGGGGGGGGTGGGGGGGGGG